AAAAAAAAATAAAAAGCCAAACTTCATCATAGGTGATGTACTGATGTTAGAATACCCGTTAACCACGTGAGGACTGGAAGGCAGAACAAATAATAATATGTTGAAAATGGGGCAACATAAGGTAGTACAAGAGGCTTAGGATATGTTCCTCCATAAAAGTACAAGGAACCATACAGAAGAACTATCAAATGATGAAGAATGCTAATAATTGAAGCAAGGACCAATCATTTGGCAGTTAAAGATAGATATTTCTTCCTTTTGTATCAGGCAAAACGACTGATCACGCCAATGCAAATCAAAATTATTGATGTCTCACTGATTGCATCCATTGGTGCAACCTGATATTCATTGTAACTAGATTCAGAGTCCAAAATAATTCAAACTTTTTGGTTCAAAACGTTGTCAAAAATGTAGTTCTAATGAAAGAGATAGGAGAAAAGCAACACAAATGAATGCAAAAGACAACTTGGATTTCATGGCATGCACAGCACAAATGAAAAGTAGAACCAATCACCTAGCACCTAGGCAAGTGATATTGGAAATTTTGTTGATGCGCCCTTCAAGAAAATAACATCAGGCACTGATTCAACAAAAAGAAAAACTGAGAACAACCATTTTTCAGTAAATTAATTATTGACCAAATCATTTCTGCAAAACTGAAGACAGGTATATTTCTGCTCATTTCTTTTGATGCCATCTCATCAGGAAAAGTGCTACTAGAAACATGATTAGGATGAATAGTTATCAGTAAAGGGATTGCTGCACCCAAATCATGTCACTTCTGACTTGCTTCTACTGAAACGAGGGCAAATAACAACATCAACAACATTGATAATTACACTCCCAGGGGTATGTATGTTAATTACATTATTTCATCCCTTATGGACATGCAAGCTTGAGTTAAGGGTATGTATGCAAAGACTAATTACATTACATTAGTGTTTGAAATATGGAAAAGAGCAACAGATAACAATACAAACCTTGAGGAAGGAGAAACAACCGGCATCCTAATGCAATGCTGGTTATGAGCTGACAGTTTTCAAACTCCTTGAAAAGACAAATAGATAACAGTCAATTACAAACCAATTAAAAACTAGCCTATTTTATTGTCTTAATATTCCTTGCACATTCATCTATACTATGGAATTAATAGACTTCTTGCACCCATAAAGTTAAAATCACCAACTCAGATTGAACTAATGTAAGTACATCTACTGGCCAAGTCCAAGCACCAGCACCTCCATAGCCCCCAAAATACCAAACACAGAAAAAAAAA